CTGTCACCTCCCTCTCTCCCTCCAGCGGGAGGAGCTGGCGATCCCCTCTCCCAGAGGGGCGGGGGCGGCTCTCGCCCAGACTCGGTGACCGCGACTTTCCGGTTTTCTCCCAGCCTCCTGCGGTCCTCTCCCCGTCCCTCGGATCCTTTCCTTGCAGCCCTGACCCACTGCTGGCCAGGGTTAGTTCGGTTTAAAAATTCGACAGAAAACATTCCGTAAGTGCCTGGTTTTCAGTTCTGGGCAGCACATTTGAAAACAAAAACCAAAAAACTAACCAACGGAGACTTGCTGGAAGAGGGTCCCCAACCAGAGCGGTCGACGGCTTTGTTATTGCCATGCAACTCAGTGAAAGGAAGTGGGACTAGAGAAGAGCCCTGTTCCTCGGCTTCAAAACTGGCACAAGGACTTAACCTGGGCAGTCATTACTGCTTCATGTCAACCTGGGGAAGGGCAGGCTGGGGCTTGGTGGGGGGTGTGATTTAAGTTTTCTTCTTATTTGAAGGGCAGTCATATGGAAATGGAACTTGGCCCCTAGAAGACAGGCCTAGGAATAACTGAAGCTTGGGGTAAGGAAAAGCTTCCTAATAATTAGGAATATCCTAAAGTGGACTGGGCTACCTTGCTGGGCAGTAGGTTCCCACTTGGGGGTCTTCAGGCAAAGGCTGCATGCCCATTTGTCAGGAACTGTAGTGGGGAGTATTTTCTGGTGGCTACCAAATGTCTTTCCAAACTGAGATTCTGTTATTTGTTAACTTCACTTCAATGTCCCACAGACATCTCAAATCCAGCATATCTAAAAAGGAATTATTTCATTGAATTTCCCCCAACCTAATCCTTCTCCCAAACCTTCCTATTTCTGTTGAAGGCACCACCATCTTTTCTGTTATTCAGGTTCTTTGGGTTCCCAGCCCTGGAGTCCTCTTTGACTCTTCCTTTTCCCTCGTGCCTGGAGATCCAGCCAATTGCTGGATCATCGAGCAATCAATGATCTTGTCTTCTTCACTGAGAACTCCACAACCTTCACACCTGCCCCACTTTTCTGTTTTCACAGCCTTTTCCTAATTGGATATTGTCAGCTCTTTCCTGGACCGTTAGAAAAGCCTCCTAATTGGTTTCTCTGCTTCCAGGTTCTTCCATCCTCCACATGGCTACTATTCCACAGACTGAGCGTGTGGATCCCGTTCTCAGTATTCTTCTTAAGTTTCCTGTTGCCTCCATATAACATCAAACCAAAACAAAACAATCCTCAGCCCTCCACAATAGACTCACAGAATCAGAGTTGGAAATTACTTCAGGTGCCATTTGGTCCAACCTTTATCTAAAAAAAATCACTATCACAATGCGCCTTGAAGTGTTCATCCAGCCTTTGATCAAAAATCTTGTGAGGGGGAATTACCACTTCCCACAGCAGTCCATCTACCTGTGGGTGCCTCTAATTGTTGCAAAGCTTTTTCCTCGTTTCAAGCCTCAATTTCTCTTTGCAACTTCCAGTCCTTGCTCCTAGGTCTGCCCTCTGGTGCCAAGTAGAAAAATAAATCTAATTCCTCTTTCACAAACTTGCAGATAGCTATCATATTCCCTCCCACTGACCTTTCTCTTCTTCAGGCTGACATAAAACCAATGTCACTTTGTGTCCTGAAGCAGTTCTGAAACTATGAAATTGTACTCTTGCCTTGTCCCAGCTCCTTCAAATCGTCTGATCACCATGCCTGAAATGCTTTTCTTCCTCATCTCTGCCTTTCCAACCCCTCTTAATTCTAGTATTGCCTCTCCTAATTATTTCCCTGTCTTCCTGTGCACAGGCTGTTGGTACATATGTTTGCTTGTTTTTTCCTTCATTAGACCGAGAGCTCCTTGAGAGCAAGGGACTGTCTTTTTGGGATTTAAAGGAAGTCAGTGAGCAGAGATGAGGAGGGAGAGTATTTTAGGCATGGGGGATAGCCTGACAAAACACCTGGAGCCAAGATAGTAGTGGAACAGTAAGTACGGAGGTGAGAGCTACTGGATCGAACAGTACTTGTCAGGGAATAAGGTGTAAGAAAGCTGGAAAGGTAGGCAAGGACTAGGTTATGAAGGGCTGCTAAGACTACTAAATATTTCTTATTCATTAAATAATTTTTAAAGACACTCATGACGCTAATAAAAAGTATGAGTATTTTAAGATAAAGGAAATCAGTCAGTCTGTTGCCAGACAGGTTTTAAACCAACATCACAATACATCGGTTTATAGTAACAACAAACCCATATATATAGGTTTGTTTTTACTATAGTTTTTTATTACCATGCTTTAAACAAAATACCCCCTAAAACTTTTAGTAGAACACTATCACAGAAAAATGATTCACTGTTTATTATAGTCACTCATTATTATTTAAAAAGCATAAGTAAAATGTTATCAAAAATACAGAATAACTCATGATTTCATGGATCCTTGACTAATTCCCAGGAATCATTATTTCTCATTCTGGAATCTGAAAGATTAATATTTGTTGGGAGTTTGAAAACATTAGTTGGGAGGATGCCCTAAGTAAGGGTCACCAAGTCAAAAATGCACAGTGGAGAATTTAGACAAGTTTCCAAAAATAATTACTTGGCCTTTGCCAACTACATAGTGCTTTAAGGTTTATAAAGTGCTTTACAGGCATCATTTAGCTTGAGTTCACAGAAACTGTGAGGTACGTCTATAGGTTTTATCTACATTTTATACAAGAGGAAACTGATGTTCTGAGTCAAATAACATGTTCATGGTTACAGAACTAATAAACGTGAGAGGGCAGATTTAAACCCCCATCAAAAGTACTTTATCTAATACATCACAATGCCTCTGTGTTATGTCACATTTAACCTCCTGAGTCTCAGTTTCAACACCCTCCTCCTACTAGAAAAACCTTAATACGACGCCCAGTCATTTTTCTTCAGCTAAAGCTAGTCCTGATGGATTTCTGCAGTCCACTTTCCTTGCCTCCGATGCCTCTCACATACCTACCCAATCCAGCCCAAAATCCTCCACGAAGGCTTTTTCGGTAAATTTTGACAATGTTAGTTGGTGTCTTCAGAGCTCATAGGAACTTCTGAGATATGTTTGCCTACATTCACCTGTGGTCATATGTTGCTTTATTAAGTCTTCCAAAAGTCACTATATTTGAGGAATCACTCATTAGACTGAGCCAGCAGGGACTACGTCTACTTCCACCGTATCCCCCCTCAGTAGAGAGCTCTGCACAAGCTGGGGAGACTGCATGGCTTCACTGCAGTCAGATGAATCTCCACACCAACTGATGAGCTCTCAGATTGACAGAGGCTCCATTTATTATTGTGTCAGTAGAAAACTGTATCAAGGAAGCAACCCCACCAAGTTCCTCAACTACAATAGGATGAAACTGGGACCACAATAGGATCTTCATTCAGGGTGTCCAGCTTCACCCATTCATGTTTGAGATAGGTAGGGCAAAGATTTCCATCCCTCTCATACTGACTATTTATTCCTTACTTAGGTTTATTCAGGGTTGTCTCTCAGTCTTTCAAGGCCTAACTTCCCAGGCTTTTACAAAGAGTGAGAATATTTTACCAACAGAGAGGTGATCTGTTCTGGTAACCTCTTGCACGTTGGCTAATAAGGCCTATGAGAACACCGGCCTCCTTCCTTCTTAGTTTTACTTCATTTTTGAACAAAGACAGCTTGGTCCAGTTTGGTCACTCAAATTATTGGCCAGACTTTACTCAGAACAACTGGAGGGATGCTATGCGGACAGGGTACCAAGCAATTGCTTGCTCCACACAGAACTATAACCAATGGTTTGAAGTTATCGGTTTGTGATTCGAGTTCAATTAAGAATGTTGCAGAGGAGTTGTACCAGATAACATTTTAAGTCCCTTCCCACTGTAGCACTGACTCTGAGTCTGTACTTGATAATCTCACCTTGTATGTTACAGTTCTGCCTCAACCCCAGTCAAGGTCCATCAGTCCAAACAGCAGGGCCCTGTAGTGCTGTTTCTTGGTGTGCACCTTAATGTGGGCTGTGAGCTTAGACTGCTTGGGGAATGCCTTATCACACTCGCTGCAGCAGAATGACCTGGCCTTGATGTGTCTTCTCTGGTGGACTCTCATGTCCGCTTTCATTCGAAAATTTTTGCCACACTCTGGACACTGGAAGGGCCTCTCCCCTGTGTGCAATCTGATGTGCTCATTGAGATAACAATGTTTGGTGAAGCTCTTACCACATTCACTGCAGGAGAATGGTTTATCTCCCCTGTGCTGGCGCTGATGGGCCTTCATGTCGGCTTTCAGCCTGAAGCACTGCTCACACTCTGGGCACTGGAAGGGCCTCTCCCCTGTGTGCAGGCGCTGGTGCCGGAGAAGATGCCCTTTTTGGCGGAAGCTCCTGTCACACTTGGGGCACTGAAAGGGTCTTTCCCCAGTGTGCAGAAGCTGGTGCCGGAGTAATTCATATTTTCCAGCAAAGTTCTTGTCACACTGTGTGCACCAGAAGTGTTTCTCTCGTCTGTGAATCCTCAAGTGCTTGGTTAATTGAGCCTTGTGAGTGAAGCTCTTGCTGCACTCACTGCAGTGGAATGGTAAGGGCTCAGACCAGTCCTGGTTCTGAGGGTCATGTCTATGGCTTTCCTGATGTATTGAACTTGAAGATCCAGAGACTCCTGGAAGGAAAAACAGATCCAATCAGATCTTATGACTTGGGGAGGTGGTAACCCACAACCGCAACAATGGCATTCTAAGTTTTGCAGTGTGCCTCACATACTTTATCTGATTTGATCCCCATGACAATCCTGGAAAATAGATGTCCCCACTTTAAAGATGGGGATACTGAAGCTCAGAGAGGTTAAGTTGCTTGCTCATGGTCATGAAGCTAATAAGTGTCTATGGCAGGATTTGAACCCAGATCTTCCTCGCACTCAGGCCAGCGCTCATTTCTTGACATGATGATAGCTGTTACTATCAGCAGGGATCATGTCTTATTTAGCTTTGCAGTCTGCTCAGTGTGGAGCCCAGCACTGCCAGGAGGCTGTATGGCAAGGAACACTGGATCTGGAATCAGACAATTTGGTTTTGGGCCCTAGCTCTGACATTTACCAGCTGTGTGACTCCTTGGAGCCTCATGTGCAAAACTGCGATAATAATCCTTGCATGTGGGCCAAATGGCACATTGCACACAAAATCCTGAAAGGTATTATATAAATGTAAACCATTAATATCTGGTGAACTGAATTCACCATTCCAGGTCCTTCTCCCAGTCAGACAGTGACTCCTGCAGTGAAAATCCAGTCCCTGTCCTGTGTTTTGCTGCCTCCCCTAAATTCACTTTTTAATGCAATGGCATATAATTAGATTGTTGAGACTAGATTGAAACTGAAGAAGCAAACTTCAGGATGACAGGTAACAAACACTAAGGCCTTGTATACCATGGCAAGTGACATTAAAACCTGTGTTAGTCCACATATTTCCTCCCTGAATGGAGCCAGTCAGGTGTGGAGGGGAAATGCTTTGGGAGAACTGCAAACATCTTTTTCCAATGGGTGGAATGACTCACAGAGGTCTTTGAAAGAGACTCAGGATCATCATTACTCTCTGAATTTCACCATCATATTCAAGAAAGTTTCCAGGAAGATGCAATGCTGGAGAAATGATAAATCTCCAGGAGGTGGAAGTGGAAACTCATAAAATGAGCACAGGGGAATTCCTCAGAAACTCTGATTGATTTTCCTATAATCTCTGACGGGCAAACAGGTTTAGTCAATGTTTATGATAATAAAAAAATAATAAAATGCTATATTATCATTTTAAAGTTTTTATTCACTTTCCTTATAATTAATCTGTGATAACTAATATGTAAATGACATCTTATGGTTACAAAACACTTTAAATATATTACCTTATTTGACCTTTACAACAACCCTGTGAAGTGATGAATATAAAATGCTTTGCATGTGATGCAGATGTTTTCATCCTCATTTTACGAGTAAACAAACTTGGAGAGAGCTGAATTGCTTAAAGTCACACAACTTGTAGGTGGCAATGATACTAGTAATAATAGCTAATAGTTTTATAGCATCTACCATATGCCAGGCACTGTGCTAAGGGCTTTACAAATATCTCCTTTGATCTTCACAACAATCCTAGGAGGTGGGTAACTATTATTACCCCCATTTTATGTATGAAGAAACTGAAATAAATAGAGGTTAAATGACTTGCTCAGGGTCACACAGCTAATAAGTGTCTGAGGCAGAATTTGGTCTTTCTGACTCCAGGCTCAGGGCTCCATCTACTGTGCCACCTAGCTGCCTAGGTGGTTTTATTGTCTCTCTAAAGCTCACGGGAAGAGACACATCAACAGGGGGACCATTTAGCCACATTTTCCCTGACCTCTTATATTCAGTAGTAACTATGCTCCTAAGCTAGGATATATCAGTATTGGTTCTCCCTCTGCCCCTCTCCTTCAAATCCTGATGATCTCAGACACATGTCTCTAGAAAATTTTGGCTACTACAAGTGGCAGAACTAGCTCTAGGGAAGGAAATCAGATAAGGGCTCAACCTTGCCTCCTATGAGACATATAATCTTGACCATATTTTAGGATTTCCAGCCTATTTTATTGCAGGTGTCTTTTTTTTTTTTTTGGGTGAGGCAATTGGGGTTAAGTGACTTGCCCAAGTTCACATAGCTAGTGAGTATCATGTGTCTGAGGCAGGATTTGAACTCAGGTCCTTCTGACTCCAGGGTTGATGCTCTACCCACTGCGCCACCTAGCTGGCCCTCAGGTGTCTTTTATTTAAGTAAAAGAGATGGCAGTAATCTCATTAAACTTTTCTCCTCTCCAAGCCATAGAGATAAGCAGGAACCCCTTAAACCTTCCTTTTCCTCATCCTGGGACAAAATTAACATCAATAGCATCCCTGGCTTATTAGTCACTGGAAATCAATAGCCAAAAATGAAACATCTCCCGTCATGATGCTGCACATGGGCCTTCCTGACTTATGAAATGTTTTGTCTTTTCTAAAATCCAGAACTTCAAGAATCCTGATCAAGCAGAAAAAATAGAGAACTCATCTCTGTGTGTTCAAGTTGAGTTAAGTCCCCCACATGACAGTGAAGTTTGTTTTGGGTTTTGAGCCCTGGAGTGTTAGTCTTTTTACTACTCTTTTTTGAAGCCCATCTTGGCCAGACACCAAACCTCAGCTCAGTTCAGCATAAAAAGAAGATTTAAGTTTCCCAGCTAAGAAAACCTGAACCTACTTTTCTGGTTTCATTGTTCTCCTCTTTTCTCACTCACCACAAAGCAGCTGCATCTTGGTACGCTTCAAGTCAAGATGCTCATCAGCTCTGGAGCCTATTGCCAGGTCTTCTGTCCCTAAGTTTTCCTGACCTCTGATGAATGGCTCTTCCCCTTGTTCAATCCAGGTGATCAAGTCTGGCTTGGGAATGGCACAACCTACATAGAGGTCACAAAGAAAGAATTAAGTTTATTTTTAAAACATTTACATTAGATGCACAAATTATAGCATTACATATGCAAAAATACGTGGGCCCTTGGGTGCTATAAAGCAGAATACAACTGTTCACACTCTAACAGAGTTAAGCTTAACGTATTTGGTTCTAAGCTACCCATGATTTGTTTCATATCTCTCCATTTCCTATCCTCAGAATATCACTACATGGTATATAATCACTTAATAAAAGCAATTAAAATTATTTTTGTCTTGAGAATTCCTTGAGAGCCATTTGAGTGGACTCAAGATATTCTGGGCTATCAAGAAATAAGGCATAAATCACAGTGTTTTGAAAGCAACTGACTTTAGAAGAAATATTTCCTATAGCTTTCTTGGGAACAGTTTCTATTGCTACCCAGAGCAAATGGATGGACCATGTCCTTAGAAGGAGAGCTGAATGATTTAAGATGAAGACACTTAAAAACTAAGTTTTTGTGCTGAAAATGTGAACTCTCATATGGGGAAATGTGGAAACTCTCATATCTTCATACTTAACTTAGACACAGAATTTTCTAACCTGTTTAAAAACCTTCTAAACAAAGAGTTTCAGTGGACTTTGAACCCACTTTTAAAAAATCCCACACTGATTAGTTTGCAAGAACAAATGGTTGCTAGGATGAGAGATGGACCAATGCATCATATTTACATGGCACCATAACATTTGTAAAACATTTTCCTTAATGCAGGTAATAATGAGTATTGTTATTCTCATTTTAAAGAGCAGGAAATTGAGGTTCACAGAGATGAAGTCACTTGCCCATTTCAAACAGCTGGGTAAACACCGGAGGTAGCATTAGAACCTAGGTCTCCTTGTTCCATTACCTCTTTCCATTATACAGTGGTCTGTCCAAAGTTACCAATGACCTTTCACTTGCCAAATTTGATGACTTCTTCTCAGGTGTCATCCTCTTTCATCTCTCTGTAGCATTTGACACTACTGATCATCCTTTCCTTCCTTCCTTTCCCCTTTGGGTTTCTTGACACTGCTCTCCCCTTATTCTATGTGTATGATGGTTGTTCCTTCTCAGTCTTCTATGCTGGATCGTTATTCTGTGGCCTCTGTGGGTGTCTACCCCATAGTTCTGTCCTGGGCCCTCTTTTCTTCTTACACCAGTGGTCTCCAAACTTTTTTGATTGTGTACCCCTATTAGTCCTATAATACCAACTGCCTTTTGGACATCTCTTCTGGATGTCCTGTAAATATCTCAAAGTCACTATGTCTAAACCAAAAATTCAATTTCTTTCCCCCTCAAGCCTTTCAGTCACTCAGGTTTACAAAACTGGAGTCATCCTTGTTTTTTCTCCCTCCCTCATCCATCACACCCAATACCTTGTCAAGCCCTGTTGATTCTAGCCCTACAATATATTATGTTTTGATACCCCTTATCTCCACTCATACTGCCATCACCCTAATTCAGATCCTCACTGACTCTTACAAGATGGCAATAGCCACTCTGATCTGTTTCCTAGCCTGTCTTTCCCCTCTTTAATCTATCTCCTATACGGCTAGCTTATTCATTCCTAAAGCACAGATAAGTCCGACCATGCTACTCCCCAGCTTAAGAAACTCTTGTGACTTCCTCTTTCCCATAGGATCAAATACAGACTCCTCTGGCTTTTCAAGCTCTTTACGATGTGAGTCCAGCCTACCTTTTCAGGCTCCTCAGGCAGTATTTTCTTTCACTCAGTCTAAATTCTAGACCAAGAAGACAGCTTGCTATTGCTTGTGCATTACCTTGCATCTCCTGTCTCTACACTGCTCCCTTCCTCATCTCCACCTCCCAGGATTCCTATTGGCCTTCAAAGTGAAGCTCTAGTAGGATCAACACCTATAAGAAACCTCTTTGGTATCACCCAAATGTTAATGCCTTCACTTCAGAAATTACTTTGTATACAATCTTCCACGTATGTGTTATTTCCCCTAATAGAAGGCAGGTTTCTTGAGATTAGGCAGCTTTTAGTTTTTGTCACTGTATGCCTAGCATCTACTATAGAGTACCCAGCATGTAGTGGGCACTTATAACTATCAGTTGAATAAAAAAGAACCTTCAAATAATCTTTAAAGTAGGTGGTAAGGTCCAAGTCACAGGTGAAAAAGATCTGGCTTAGGCTTCAAATGCTGAATGGTGCTGAATATGAGATGGGGAATCTGCAGAGGTTGTGGTGATTCAGTTTTCCATCTCAACCTCTTCAAACCTAGGTTCTATCCAAACAACTCTGCAAAAACAGCTTCCATGAAGGTAGCTAATAACCATTACACAGTTAAACCTACCAGCAATTATTCACTTCACATCCTCTTTACTATGTAACTTTCATTTAAACCTTTGTTTTGAAAATATCTTGACTATAATTCTCTGTGAAGCCTTTACAACCTCATTGATTCCTCAATGATTTCTTCTTCCTCTGAACTTTTATAGCACGTTTGGCAATTAATCACACATTGCGTCCTCAGATATTACATTGTTATACTGAACTTTAAAAAAAGATCTCTTGTATCACTATTTACAATTCCATATTTTAAGTCCTGTTTATCTTTTAGATCTCAACAAAGAACAAGCTCCTTGAGGGCAAACAGGTATGGTTTCTTATGCATCTATTTCTTCTTCCTAGAACTTTAACTTTCACAGAGCAGGCACAGAAAAAAAAAATTCTAATTGATGGATTGATGAGATTAATGATACTCTCTGGCATAGAGGCAGGTAGGAAGAGTCTCTGGAATTCTTGTTGGGTGTGTTCAGAAAAGATTTTTTCATGATCTACTATGCAAAACCAGTCATGGCAAGATAGCGGAATCAAAATTGTAAAAAGAAAACCACATGACATACAGCAGGCAGGAAAATTTGAGGTATCATTCATTGTTAGTAGGTATTTATTAGATACCTGGGAGACTGAAATGAAGCAGATGATAGTGAGGTAACTGAGAATAATACTTCCTATTTCAATCCTGGGGGAGACTACCACTAGCCAGACTGAGGCCCACGGACATTAGTGACAAATATAGAAAAGACTATTAGCTGAATAGGACATTCACTGCATGAAGCTAGACTAATATGAAAGTCTGAGTACATAAAGTGAATAAACCCCTCAATTTCCAGGTGATTCACCTCAACTAAATAATTACGGCTGCTATCACGTTACTGTTTTATTTTTATTTTCACATTCCTGGCACCTAGCACATAGTAGGTGCTTAGTAAATGAACTGAATTGAATAATATTGTCTTCTATCCACTCATTAAGGTCCAAGCACCTCTATAAAAGGTAAACTTGTGAGAAGCATCAATCAGAACTGAGTCTCTGAGAACTCCTGTCAGTGGGGGGTCTAAGTGCTAGACGACCACCTGAAGTTCCTTCTTCTGGCTTATACTAAGAGTTACTCACAAAGCTTCTCACAAAAGAATTTTTTGAATTAAACCAATTATCAAAACCCATTCAACCATTTATTAAAGTCCAAAGTAGTAAAAAGAAAACCTGTATTCCACACATACCAAAATATTTATAGCAGCACTTTTTGTTGCAGCAAAAAACTGGAAAAAATAGGTGTACATCAATTAGAGAATAACTGAATAAACCATCACACGTGAAAGTAACGGAATATACCACATGGAATGAAAAATATGATGAATTCAGAGAAATGCAGAAAACGAGGCAGAATGAAGTATAACTACGAGAATAATACACATGATCACAATAACATAAATAAAAACACTACCAAAACACAGCCAAACTCAGATAGATGTAATAAAGAAACACATTTTCCCTTTCTCTGCAGAGAAATGGGACACACTGGAGCAGAATGTAAATACACTGTAAACAACCATTTTTTGGTCTGTTTTGCTTAATAATTTTCTTTGTTCAATAGGGGTGGGGTGGATTCTGACAAGTAACTAACTTAAAAAACAAAAGGCATCAATAAAACTTTCTAAAAAGTGATGTGAATGATATGAAAAGAATAATTTAGAACTGGGTTTCAGGAAACCTGTTTCAGGCTGTGGATGGAAGCGCTGGGTGATTTTTGAGGCCTCTTCCACTATCTGATTCTATATTTCACCCAAATTCCCTATAATAATACCTTACCCAACGAGACCAAGGTTTCATAATTGGTCTTCACCACATGCTTGTAAAGCTCCTTCTGCCACTCCTCCAGGTTCCTCCACTCCTGCTCCGTGAAATACATGGTCACATCATCGAAAGTCACAGGCACCTGGAAACACGGACTCATCTGACCAGTTTTAAATTTTATTTGACCCATTTAAACACCCCATTCCAGACTCCATTTCTTCTTTCTCCTGTCTTTCACACAAGGTAAATGCTATAAACGGATTCCCACCAGGCACATTTTAAACACTTTCATCGCAGCCAACGAGGGGAAGCCCCGGGCGCTGGCTCGGGTTCCCAGACCGTAAGTAAAGCTTCTCTTCCCAAGTGCGTGGCAGCAGCAGCAGCACAGGCTTCCCCAGGCCGAGGCACATCTGTCAAGCCCCCTGCAAACCCGAAACAGCTGCCGCATCAGACGGGGGAGGAGGGAAGGCTCCGGTGGTCACCTGACCCGCACTAGATGCTCCCCAGCTCCACCCCTGCCCTCCCTCCGCTCCGGGCTGCCCGGCCTCTGCCCCGGGGCACGGGGATGGGCTCCCACTGTCCCCCACCTTCCTGGGGGCCGCGGCACTGCGCTGGGGAGGCCTGGGTTCTGATGCCGCGTCAGCTCGGTGCTGCTGGTGGGGAGACTCAGAATCTCTGGGCCTCAGTTTCCTATTCTGTAAAACGAGGGGGTGGGGCCTCGACCAGGTCCCTCCCTGGTCTGGATCTGAACCCTCTGGGCCGGGCCCGGAGGCCCGGAGTTGAACCTCCCGCAGGCCGCGGACCCTCCCCGAGAGCTCCGCCTCCCTCGGCCCGGGCTTCTGCAGGCCGGCCCCGGCCGCTCTTACCGGAGCAGGCGTCCCCGCGGCCATGGCCTGCATGCCTCCCTCAACCCTGGTCCGTCCGTCCCGGGCAGAGCGCGGGCCTCTGGCTCAGGCTGCGCGCCATCCGGGTCACGCCCCGCTCCTCCCTGCAGGGAGGGGCCTCCCCTTCCCCGGCTCTGCTCCCTCACAGCGCCCCCCTGCGGGCCGGAGGGGGAACTCCCTTGAGCCACGGGCCCACCCCTTCTCTCCCCTGTGCGGCTTCTCTCCCCGCTCTCTTCCGAGCCTGTGCTTGCCATATAAGAATGCAACGCCCCCATTGTACAGACGAGGACGCTGAGGTCCAGAGAGAAGGATCCCGCAGAGAGATACAAGCCTGCAGCCTTGCAGGTCAAGGCTTTGTTCCAATGTCCCGATACCGGCACCTGGGATAGGTGCTACAGGGGCTTTGGGGGTCTCCGGGGCCTGTACACTCAGCGGGGTGCTGCAAAATGTTGCACAACTGGCTCCCCTGAAGAAAAAATTGTATGCACAATACACTTTTAAATTCAGTCTGCATTATTCAGAGTTTCTCCATCAGTTTCTTAAGTCTAGATATTCGACAAAGCAATACACCAAGCTCTGATTGGGAGCTTTTATCTATTACGATGACGTAGATGATCACTGAAAATTTAATAATCAGCTGAGCAGTAGGAGCTTGCTCTAGCACAGTACTGGTCCTCTATAAAAGCATCAATGAGTCTCAGGGTTGCAGATACATAGGCAAACGGAAAAACAGGATCACTCCTCCAGAGTCCCAGTTATCTCTGTGGACCATCACAAAACGAATGCCTCTGGGGATAACAGGACAGGAAGCATCCTCACCTGGCCCCAGCCTAGCCACCACTTTTTTTTTTTTTTATTTCACCATCAAGACCTCATTGGAATAGTTACATTGCTTTTCTCAATCTACATCTCACTCCAGGAAGAGAGTGATATGGCTCTGGGCTGATAGCCACTCCTTCTACATATAGATGAGGGAACTCTGGCCTCTTGCAATGCTGGCATTCTATGTGCTGACCTCTCTTTCCACTCTGACAGTCTATGTCGCATGTTTCTGTCCCTTCTAACTTTAAATACTATGATCCTGTGAGTTGTGATCCCCACTGCATAAAGAAATCTAATTGTATGGAGTGCCATACTTGTATCTGGGAAGACCTCTGTTCAAATCTTGCTGGATTGGCAGTTCTTTGTGTGACTGGTTATGTTACTCCAGGGAAATCACTTAACTTTTCAGAGCTTGTTTCTACCTCATAAATATAACCTGCCTCATGAAGCCCGTTGGTATGGGAACTCTCTTATCATTGGTGGAGCTCAATGCCCTGCACCTAGAGGGTTGGGGGTAGAGTTGGCAAGAGCAGGAGAGAGGAGAGTTTCACTCCTCTTAGAGCATAAGGGTCTCTTTCTGGCACTTCTGGCTTCCAGACTGGAAAAGAGAAAATGGAAGATACTAAGCCCACTTCAGATTACCGAAGGGAGAATTAGACTCTGGGAAGAAGTTGACGTGAGAGGAGCTGGTTGTCTCCATTATGTCCCTTTCCTACACTAGAGACTTTGGGGAACCTCCCTTTGGTGAGATCTAGGACTCTCTCCCTGCTTAGTTGAATTATCTTTCTCCCAATTGGGCAAGGTGGAGGATTACTTCACTCTGTATGATCCGGTATATATTCTATGTTTACTTTCTTTGATTTCTGTTTGATATCAAATTGGATAAATGAGCTTCTTTGCTACTTCCTCTGTGTGTTCATTGTGGAATTGGTATTTGATGGGAAAGGGATCAAGTCTTGGCTGTAAAGCTTGGGCTCCTGCTTCCCACTAATTAACAAAACAGTGATCAAAAGTTAGATTAAATCAGAAAATTTCATCCTCTAAATCACTAATATTTAGGGGTGCAGATAGATATAACACTAACCCAGTAGCCTTTCTCTCTGAGGAGAACAAAGTGGCTAAGCTTCTGGCCCCAACCTCCTGTTTCCCATCCTGGCAGGAATTAAAGCCTCCCTTGGAGAAGAAAGGGGGAGGAGAAGAGGCTAGAGGTGTCTGTTCTGTTTTCCTTAGGGCCACGCAATAGCTACATACTCATGCTACATATGGGGGATAGCCCTCATCATATAAATTTGGTATAAGAACACCTCACAGAACTGTTCAAAGACTTGAATAGGGTAATGAAAGTAGATAACTTGGCAAACTTAAAAATACTCTAGAAATGTCAGCTATTATTATGATTATTACTTTGTATAACAGAACCTGTCACTACTAATTCTAGAATAGGAGGAAAGGGCAGAAGTGGAGGAAAGAAGATAACTCAGTAGTAATGGAGAAGAACATGACAGTCCAGCCACAAACATTCCCTCTCTTCTCCAACTTCCTTTTACCTGTTTTGTCTCTGGATTCTGTGTAGTGAAGGTAAGGGCTAAGGGGTGAGCAGATTATTATCGCACAGCTGGAAATCTTTTCTTATAGGGTTCCTTTTTTGTTTTTGTTTTTGTTTTTTTTCTTGCATTCAATTATTTCAGGCAAACTTATACTTTTGATATATGTTTTTTCAGCTTGAATTATTCAAATAATTATAAGAACTCTCCACCCAGCTTTTCCTTTATGGACCCTGGACATAACTTGTAAAACAAAGTAAGAACTAAAATGTACATTTGGCAGGAAATATCATCTTTATTTTTCTTTTGTTTGGAGAGTAGGGATGCAGATTTAATTTGGATAAAAGTATTAGCATATTAGTGCATGGTCATCCTTTCCCACCATAATGCATACCTCCATACTTCTCTGTAATGCCCCTGCCCTAGATAATCTTCTCTACTCTCACCTTTTGTGTATTTCCTTTTGAGTGTTTTCTTCATCATTAGAGCATAAACTCCTTGAGGGCAGGCACTGCATTTTTTTTGTTTCAGGGTTCCTTCTTTAAAAAATATATATGTATATATGTGTATATATATCCTTAACAGTAACCAAAAGATACCCCTTTGAACATTTCAGATACAAAGTAGAAAAGAAAAAAAAAAAGGATTGTACTTGAACCTGGATTTCTATTACATATAGTTTGATTTTCCTTGGAAGTACATACAAAGTTCAACATGTAACTTTCATAGCTGACCTGCTTGTCTATGTTTCCTTCTGACCTACCTTCTATTTTCTTCTAAGCATTTAAAACAATTCTTCAACAATCCTCTCTCTTTTCTTTCTTTTTTGGCAACTCTATGACAACCCTCTCTTACCACCATGGGGAAAAAAAGAAAAACAAACAAATTGAAAAATGAGTTCCTTTTTAAATGGCATGAGATTATCCATCCATCCATCTAAGAATGTAGTAAGTCCTCACTAGGCACTCAAACTCATTAGAAGGGGAGAAAGATTACAACTAGGAGACTAGTTTGGAGGCTTCTTTAATTAGATTGCAAACTCCTTAAGAGCAGAAACTGTGTTGTTTCATCACTGTATGTCCCCTAATACTCATCGTTTATTTGATTGAATTGAAATTGAATTAATTTAACTGTGAGCTGATGACTCTTGGTTCTCAAAGACTATACCAGTAGGGAGTAAGCAAGCTCTGGAGGGTCCTACCATATTGGAAAAGTTTTGAGTACACATATGATAATGAACAGTGTCTTTGCTTCCTAAGTATTGGCCAAATTTTGAGAGGTTTACACTGTTGGCTGATTGATGATAATTTTTTTGGACATGACAACTCTCAGAGACCATCCACTAAGAGAAACATGAGAAGACTTACATGAAATGTTCTAATCTGAACCAAATCAATCCAACAACCATTTATTTTCCACATATTTCTAGAGGTAGTATGGTACAGAAGATAGAGAGATGGCTTCAGAATCAGGAAGACCTGAGTGCAAGTCCTACCTGTCACACAGACTGGCTTAACCTCTCAGTGTCCCAAGCAATTCTAAGAGTAAAAGATGTAGAGCAGGTGCCCACCTACACTGGTTGAAGGAGTTTCCTCACTGGGAATTCCTAGATCACTGAACTAGGTTCTAAGGATACAAAGATAAACACAAAATGACCCCTGTCCTTAAGGAGCTTACACTCTATCCAGGTTCAGATCTGTTACAACTTATGAGACTTTGGGATGTTGTTTCACCTCATTGGGCCTCAGCTTCTTCATTTGAAAAAAAGGGATTGGATCAGATGATCTCTAAATTTTCTTTCAGTTTCAAATGGATAATCCTATGACTAAATTGCTTCTAAGTCCCATTCAGCTCTATGTACAAGATGAGTAAAAACAGGATGATTTGAAGAAGGATGGAGATCAGGAAAGATAATTTCCTTTACATTAGGAAGTGGTGATTGAATCTGAAAGGAGCCCTAGCGGTTTTGAGAAGTAGAGGTGAGGAAGGAGGAAGGGACAGCTTGGGCAAAGCCATGAAGATGGCACATGGAATATTGAATATAGAGAACAAAAAATTAGCTTTGAATCCCAAGCTGAAGAGTCTCTATTTTTATCCTTAAAGCAATAGGGAACCACCACAAGTAAAGAAGGGAACCACAGGAAATCTGAACCCTCTCTGGGGGAGCCAGGTGACTCAGATGGACATTTGCTTGGACCCAGTTTCTCTATGTCCTGCCCAGCCTGGTCAATAATGAAAGGAAAAAAGCAAGACCAAAAGGAAAATAGACACAATGACTATAAGAATATAGATTTACCCCTCCCACCCCCCAAAAAAAACCCAACAATGGACTCTGATAAATTACAATGAACAATATTGGTTTTAGAGAACAGAAGATGAACACACATTCCTCCTCTCAGAAAAGCAGTGGGTTACTCTGGATGAGAAAGGTTTCATATGTTGCCAGATGTGATTGCTTTGATTTTCTTTGTCAAGTGACATTTTTTGTATCATTTTTAGGTGAGGAACACGATGATATGCTGGAAAATGATTGTGTTATGTGTGTGAAAAAAGACATGAATAATAACAAAGAATGATAGACTTCTTATCAATCTGTTCATTGCCATAGTGGGTCACTGACTCCAATAGGAGATTAGGTAGACTTGGAATTAGTAAACACTTGATGTTTCAATAAAGAGAAGAGATGATTAACTAAATTGTAGAGGGGATGTGATCTCTCTAGGTGAAGGAAGGTCATTATCTATAATGACCAAATTACAGATTTTTGAAGCACAAGTTGGTGAAGAACTGACTAGGGTGCTGGTAGTGGGAATAGAAAGGAGGGAATGCCTCATAGAGAAGGAAGAGCTTTGGATTTAGAGTTGGAAGACCTGGGTTCAAATCCTCCCTTTGCCACCTATTACCTGTGTGACTTTGGACAAATGCCTGACTATCTTTGGGTCTCAGTTTCTTCCTTTGTAAAATGAGAGGGAATTAGACCAGATGTCTTCTGAAGTTCCTTCCAGCTCTGATTATATGGGGGATGCATGTAAGAGATATTTTGTATGCCCCTCCTTTCCTTATCCAGTTACTAAAATAGCATTTTTTGGATATCCCTTGTGAGATAACTAAAAGGACTGTGGAGGAGGATTTAGACTCTGTTGAATGTGTAAAACCTGAATCTGTAAGAGGTGTGGCTTACTTGTTCTTCCTGTTCTTTTAGCATCATCTTGTGACCTAGGAACACAGATGGCAGGATGATCCAAGGCTGTTGATGAACATGGCAGGAACAGCTGAAGGTCAAGGGAAGAGGGGCCATTGTGTTCAGTTTTGGGTATTGTATTTTAAGAAGGAAATTGATAAACTGGAGCAAGTCCAGAAGAAGGTGACAGCTAGAATAGATGGGGAAGACTTGAAAGCATAAGTTGAAAGAAGGGGGGGATTTTTAACCTTGGGAAGTAAAGACTTGTTGGTCAGAGTCAGGAGACATCAGAGCCATAGTTAGGGTGGGTAATGAGCTTTGGCCCAGGATTGGGAATTTCTTAAAGGTAAAGAAATTTGTCTCAGGGCAGGGACATTTAAAAGGTCAGTAATAGCTGTTGTTGTTCATGCTTAGTTTTTGAAGAGGACCAATGACATCATGAAGGTGATGTCTTGACTTGTGAGTGAGTTGTATTTAAGCGAGGTTGAGTTGTGCAAAGTAATCATCTCCCTACTCCCACTTGGAGAGTCATTGAAATCCAGTGGCAAGACAAAAGTCAAGATGAGTGGCCATGGCTTGGAATGCAGTTCTTGCTTTAACTGTTTTCGTTGACGTTGGAATAAATTGTTCTCATCTGCCCATTTGGGTGACAGGAAGTCTTCACTTGCTTGGGGTAGATATTCCCTTAACTCGCCCACAGGTATCAGGTCTGTCAATTACCCTCAATCTGGTTTAGCCTTTTTAAAGGTTTTAATGGGGTGTGGCTGTTGTGGATGCTACAGTTTCTTAGAGTCACAGGTGAGTGTTACATACTAATTGGAGTACTGCTTTGAAAGTATTCTTATGTCTTATGTTTGAAGTTGGGGTATATGGAGTGTTCAGGGAGGACCAGCACCTCTGGTGTCAAGGTTTGCCAAGCCCTTTTCCGGGCTGTTAATCCATCTTTGATGTCCACCTGTCACCCAACTGGGCTAA